GTACAAACATGCACTAAAAAGTGATCAAAATATACAGGAAAAATACCAAAACATGCAAAATAAATTTCATTTTATATTAGATTTTAATTTTGGTAGTATTTATTAATTTTATTACATTTTCATAACAAAAGTTATATATAATACTCATTCAAAATTTAGTACGTTAAGTATATTAATTTTTAATACATTGATATATTATAGCTATTTATTAAATTAAATAGCTAGATACATTGGTGATACTTTGTTGCAAATAGGAAAAAGTACGAACAATTTATTGAAGGTAGTAAATTATTAATTTGAAAACAATAAATTGGCATCAGTATATTTCCATGTTTATTTCGTGAAATTATGACGACGAATCTGCTAAAGAATATGCTTATATGATGAAAACACGTTTGACATCTTACTGAACAATTGAACATATTTAAGATTTACTATATCCAGCGAATAATTTGGAACTGGAGAAATGTCCGTCATCGAAATTAACGCTGTCACCTTGATATTTTTGAATTTCTTTTAATAATTTAATGCTATTTTATTCAAAACGTTTTTACATTTTATTTTAATTATTGTATATTTGCTAGTGGGAAGTTCATTAATAAGAGTTTTCCACTTGTTCTAAAATTTTATTAGTCTAGGGACAAGTGGTCAGTTCAAGCTTTTGATACTTTCAACGTCCCACATAGAAAAATTGCTGCTCTTCTTGAATCTATATTTATTCATTGTTAAAATTGATTTTATTTGGAGCCATTTTAATATCTTCTAAAGTTTTCATCCATTTTGAATCTCTTCAATAATTCAAATAAAAAGAGCTGACTCAGCCAGTACTAACAGATAATTATTGGCTGCGGTAGTGCCAAATGTGTAATTGGCAGCATTTCTTTATATAATTGAATTTTATGCAGACCTTTGAGATATTCTTGAGACGTATTTGATATTATAATATTATATAAACGATACCTATGATCTATGTTTTTATTTGTATATTTGTACAGTTTTTATTAAAATAATACAAAAATATGCAGATCATCATAACGTCAGAATAACACAAAAATATACGGTATAAGGTACGATATTTAATCAATCAAGTAATATGATTTGTGGACACTCATTGACTGCATGTATATGATGTTAAATAACAACATGCATTTGCAAAATCCGGTCTTTAATAATAATTATATTTTTAGTACAGAAAACGAAGAATTTTCTAACATCAAAAAAATGGTAAAATATTACGTAGTAGTAATAAAATATAATAATAATAAAAATATAATAATAATTTAATTAGACTATAAATGCACTAATATACGGTGATCGGAGGCAGCAGATATGGTAAACAGTGACACTGACATTTTATTTTCATAATATACTCTACCGATTTGATTTCTCGAAAAGAAAACGATATCTCCCACTAAAATATTTTATAAATATTCAATTTAATATCGACCTTCTATATATTTCATATATTTGACAAAAATATAACTTTAATTTTGTACATTATAATTTACGACTCAAAGTTGTTACCATGTTTCTGCTCATTGCACTATTACAACTGCAATATGCAATAGCACCATACATAATAATAATATAATAGGTAACTATAAATGACGTGGCGACTTTTGCCAGCGCCAATAGCGCCAGGGCGGCGGCGAGGGTCGCGGCGCTGGGCGCGTTCGGCGCCGGTCCGGCACCGGTCTGGGCCAGGCCCTGTTGGTTGGGCTCGTCGATCACGTTGCTCATGAAACTGTTGCCGTCCGGTTTCTTGGTGGGCGGCTGGGCCGACGGCGAGACGCCGCCGCCACCGACGCCGCCGACTCCTGCCGCCGACACCTGCCACGTCGGCGTGCTGAACGACGCGGCTTGCACGGTTTGCCCGCGGCTCGTCCTCTCGCTGCCCGCGTGTACCGTCGACGGACCATCTGACCAGCCACCGGTGTTGTGTTCGGGTCTCCAATCGTCCTGTCGTTTAGTCGCTGCGCGTTCGTACGTGAAACAAAACAAAAAAATAAAATAAGAAGAAAACGTCACATTGCGTGATGGTCGACGTTATACGGATTTGATGCAGCATACAATGCACCGGAGACGACGATAAATGCACAAAGCGATCTTATAAGCGCATTGAAATTTCAAAATAATATATTATGTCCTGCGTTAGTGTAACAATGATCACAAACGATTGATTTAAAGCGATTCAAAAATATAAACACCCATCGAGTGTATGACATATTAAAGACTTAATTGATTTAGAGTACGACGTTTTGTACATACAGCGCGTCTGAAACGTTCGTGAGATCATAAGAAAATAATTCAAAAATAATTCATGAAACGTGTGTAAAAAGTGTAAAAAGTTTAATTGACAGAAAAAATTACAGATATTAAGAACGATAAAAGTAATAGCTGAGCCGAAAAAGCTCGCGCTAAATATTTGGGTTTTAAACGTGTTTTAGTTTTAATACAATGAAATAAACTATAATTTCGTATACAATTTTTAAAAAAATTTATATTTTAGCACCTATTTTTTAATATTAGCTAGCATGGATCTATATTAATTACATATATTTTGATATTTTTTAATGCTGACTAGTATGAGTTTATTTTGAATTGAACTGTTTTAAATTAATTATTTATTCATCTTTAGTATTAAAATATTTGTAATTTAATATATCTGCTTCATTAAAATAGTTACATAACAATAATAATAATAATAATAATAATAATAAAAGAGGCTCTATTGTAGATCCACGGTGTTATTATTTCAAAAAAATAATGCTGTACCTACTTATTAAATTCAACTTGTTTGTGTATAACATTAAATCAGAATTATAAACATTATATAATATTTATATTATGACGTATATATTCAGTTTTATGTGCACTAACAATTTATGTATATATTGTATATACTCAAAATGTATAATTACAAAAAAAAAATTTAGTGATGGCGGTTTTTTCAAAGTCAATATGAAGGTCGTTATTGTCATATATAATATCGTACTAATAACTAATTAGTACGACTATTTTAATGTTAATATTTATTAATATTAAATTAATAATAATATAAATATTTCACTAATCCCATTAATATTTTATTACGATAGAGTCGCGTATTGTATTTTAATAAACATTTTAATATAATATTATTGCGTACATACGCGTATAATTTAAACCACGAAGCATCACACGATAGAGTAATCACAAAAATAAATCGATCGCGCCGGAAATGTTGAACATATTATTATTATAACCATAGTAAAAAAAAAAAACATCTATACTAATAATTTGTATATATTTACAGTTAATAATAATTAAATAAAATCGTTTTTATAAGGTTATCGGCTATATTATATTATTAAACAGCAATAGTGTTGATAAGTCAGTTATTATTATGTGTACATTTTAAACTATGGTATACAATATTACACGCAGTCAGTTGTAAACTTGTATTTTGTTTGATTAAGTCATGAATGGAATTTTAAATAACGGTCGTCGTAAAGACAGATTTATAATAACATGAAACTTTTTTTTTGTAAACCCTTTTATCAGAACACGCTTTAATAACAGAGATGATTGGTTATAACATTTCAATACCTATGTACGCGTAGACGCATAGTTAATATTATTGTAAGGCAGGCAAGGTTTTGATTATTGATCGTATTTATGGTTCTTGAATTAGGACAGAACTATTTGCGTTATAATGATAATATACAAGGTGATTTACCAAATGTGTTCACTACTCATTTCATTTTTCATCTTCGATAATTCAATTACCCAAAATTTGATTTTTGGAATTGTTTAATAATACACTTAAACACCATAATATTTTCATTTGAAATTTTTTGTACTACTTAAAGAGAGTCTAATGTATGTAAATCATTAAGTAAATTATTTTTCTGAAAATATTGATGTAACAAAATGATAAATATAATGGGTTTGCAAGGTATAGACCACAGGATCCATAGGGGTTATATTAAATTGAAAAATATTGTAATTAATATTAAATCATCAATATTTATAATTTACAAATGTGATATATGTATACCTAATAAATAGTAAATCTAACATTTAATATTAATGAAAAAATAATTTTTAAGTACTTTATATTATTATTAGTATAAACATTTTAATTTCTAAAAAATTATTGGTTCGAATTTTGAATTATATATGTATATTTATGTATGTTTGTACCTACGTACATCAAAATTTTCAAAAAAAAATTTTCACTAAATAATTTACAGTAAAAAGATTGTGGTTTCAATTTGAAAAATATAAGTTTGAATCACCATATTAAGATACTCTTTAATTAGTTGTAAAAATAATCTCAAAAATGAAAAAATATGAACTTTAAGTATGTTCAAAAATTCTTAAAATCACAATTCATAATTATATGTAAAAATATATGATTGGTGAATCATTGTGTATAAAATTTTAATACGGCTGTTGCACAATAGTAAAATAGTATATGACTGGATTACATGTGTTATTATTATCATTAGTTATTATAAAACGTTCTGTGGAAATTTTGATAAAATATGAAGATGTTTATTCTAGCGGCTGCAGTAGAATTTTATTATTTTTGAATCACGTAATAATATTACAATAATATAATACTAAAATATAAAATAATATGTAAATAGTTAACTCTAGATTACGTGATACATATGTTATATTATAATATAAATTGAACAAGTGTAAGTTGTCTGCTTTATTACGTGTAATATTGTTTGGCATAGATGAAATCAAATAATTATTGATAAACAAAAATAAGATTTCTCTGAGCTGTCAAACCATGTATTGACTGTCGGTCTCAGTCCTAAAGGTCAAAAATTTTAACATACATGCCACATGCGCAGTATCAAATTCAATCATTCAATGTTCTATTATAATATATAATAACGTGTTTTGACAGAATTATGCATTATATTTTTCATCACAGCCGAAACCTGATGCGACAAAATTGGCGGAGATCGTATGAGAACTATTGTAAATTATGATATAATAATAAAATATTATTTTACGACATGGATTTATAAGAATTATAATAATATTTCATTTGTTTTAAATTTACAAGAAAATTAATACGTTTATAATAGTATAAAATGTTAATCTTCATTTTTTCCGACACATTTTACTTTATATTTAAATATGTTTTTACAATATATAGCTTATCAGTATATTGTTTAGCAATGAATTAGGAACATGGTTTGTACTTTGTAATAGATAATCTTTTTTTTTTGTTCAGACCCGTCTACAAATTTAAAATCAATTAATTCCAATAGGAAAACTTAAAACATTTAATGTCTCATCTATCACCAGTATTATAACCGTTTACCATTACCTACATAACGTGTATCGCCAAACCTAAAAAATTAAGTTTTCAAAAACATCCAATATTTCACGGTCACAATGTTTATATACCATAATATAAAACAACGCTTGCACGACTTTAATATTAACTATTGAAGTACAGGTATAGTATTAAGTATAATATTACAATAAACTACCTATTGTGTAAGCCAGAAGTTTTTAAAATTTTTTTCTCGTAAATACAACCAATGTGTATTAAAAATCAATCATGTGTCCCTTATGACAAAAAAAGAACTATTTAAAATTTCAATACTAATAATAATTTATAAATAAATAATAAAATAATATTTGTTAAATTAGATAAATTTAACAATATTTATTATTACACCCAATTATAATATAATAATAATGTTAAATCCTATAAACATTAGCAATTAATAAACATATTTATATATTAATTCTAAAGACTCTGATCTCTGTTTGTTTCACTCGCAAAACCCACTTCGATTTTTTTTTTACAAATTAAAAGTTTATCACTACTCGTATAATAAAAAAACCAATTATAAAATGCAAATTATTAACTATTATTTGTTAATGGATTGATTTTAATTGGTAATAATTTAACGAAATTGTTTAAAATAACTTTTTTTATAATAAAGACTCTGTAATAGTACCACAGTTTGAAAGCCACTGGTGTTCACCAATAAAAACAAACTCATAACGAATAATATTTCGAAAGGTTTATAATAAAATTATGATATTACATTTTTTTTGATTTTGTCCCAATTCAAAAACTATAACCTAACTGTTCAAAAATTCTATCCGACTCATAATAATATAAAACATTATGCTCATAAATTATGCTTATTGTAATTTTGTGATTTATCATTATATTGTCATTCGGATGTATTTTAATAATCACAAATACAAAAAAAATGCCTACGTCCAATATATGATGTAAATTTAATGGCGTAAAACATAATAATTGGGTTCTTATCACGACGATTGTCATAAAAGGCGCACTATATTATTATTAATATTATATTGTCTATTATTAAAGTAGTGTCGATTATATCTTACAAGGCCACTGGTTGGGACTCGGTGATCCTTTGCCCTTATCGTCTTGCCATCGATTAGTGGTCATCGCGTTGTAATATTCATATCCAGGACATTCGTCTTGATTGGGGCTGCGAACAAAGTATATAATGATATTATAATAATATTATTATAATTTAAAAGCTTAACCGATTCAGATGCAACCACTGTCTTATATATATTATATAGATTATAATTTATATTGATTCACTCGACATGTTCATCTATATTTATCCTTAATAATGAAATTATTTAATTAGTAAAATTTTGAAGTATACATAAGGACCCTATTTTGAATTATTTAGATATATATAATTCGAAATTTAAACTAGTAGTTTTTATTTACTACTTTGTGTACTAAGGACAACAGATCCATGATAATGGGTAGTATTAATCGATGTTATTAGTTTATTAATGCTTTATGATTTGCAAAAGTAGTCCAAGTATAATGAATACTAGATCTATTATTATATATATTTTAATTTTTTTTTCAATACAATTTTAAGAACTATTTTTAGTATTTGTATTTTAATAACTCAGGTAGGTACTACTCAATTAATTGTCAATTTAGATATATCAAAATGTTTGAAAAAACTGTTTACTTAATAATGATTTAGAGTAAAAAAGGACGGTAATCATTAAAAAAAAAAAAGTTACATCTCTAAAAAACCTTAAATAGCAAACAAAAATCTAAATAATTGAATACACGTTATTTAAAACTTAGTACAAAACTATATTTTAACTATTATTTATCTGCTTTATAACGATGTACCATCTATTATTATTATCATTGTTAAGCTAAAAAAATAACAATTATAGTATTCTGCATATAGGTACTTACACGTAATCTATACACTGGTTGCGAAAAAATCCAAATGCTTTATCCAACAATTGTTGTGTAAAGGAATCGTCGTCTTGGTTGCAAGTCCTTCGTGTTTGGTCGAGCACACATTCCCGGAATCTGTGGTGAGTGCTGAAACAAAGCGTATCATTTCAATATATTTTATTATTATAATTATGTGATTATACGCGCAGACTAAGAAAAGAAAATTAAAAATCGCGAATTGTCTATACGATCCGCGTCCTTGAAGTTTGAATTTTGACTACCAGACGATTATATAATATTATAATAGCATTTTGAATGACATATTCTAAATTATATTTTTGGATTAGTATAATTAAACCGTCTGCTCAACTGTTGTTGGTAGTCGATACGAAGCGCATCTGAAGATGCATGAAGGTAATTCATATCCATCGACCATAATATTTCGACTTATAAATTACAGTATTTATAACAAAATAATCTGATAATCATTATTATATGATATATAAATACAAATAATAAGATTATGACAACGTAAAAATAATAATAATAATAATAAAAAAAGAAAAAATATTGAAAATGAAAATAAAAATGAAAAAAATAATTTAATAATTATGAATAAACGAAAAAATAATTTAGTAACAGTTTTAATATTCGCGTATATATCGTTTACAGTATCGACTAATAGTCATTATATAAAAATATTAAAAACTTTTCAAATTAAATTATCAATAATTAATACAATAATAGTAATACTAGTCAATAGGTTTAATATAGTTGTTAAATATATGTTTAAATACATCTTATAATATTATGTAATTTGGGCGAAAAGTGATACTGTATTGTTTTAAATAAATATAATGGGTACAGTTCAGTATCTCAAATAGAAATTGGAGTTTTAAAACAATTTATTTTTTAAATTAAAAAAAAGTTAACGACAATTATTTTTATTTAGAGACAACGAAAAGAATATTAATAGCTGGTACTCATATATTTTTTATTAGAATAATAACTGTATTTATTTATGGAAAAGTAATAAATATTAACAAATATTCACGAAATTAATGTCACAAAATGTGTATTGAATTATATTCGCTTGTATAATTTTCAGGGGCAATTAATAGGCAATAGTAATACATTCACACAAGCGTAGTCGTGATTATCAATATTATCATTATATTATCTAATAATAAAATTGACCATTACTTGTTTGCATTTATGATTATTTTACTAATACACAAAACAACTTCTGCTATCTTAAATCTAGTACGCACTTTCACGCCTATATAACATTATTTAGCTCAGTTTGTTTAGAAAAAAACAATATATTCATATAATACTATATATTTTGTTTTATAAATTTTAAATGAATATTATTTTTTCAGGACAACAAAATTAATTTAAAATTTAGCTGATCATATTGTGTTCTGTATACATCTGAGTACAATACATTTTAGAGGACTTTTCATATTTCCTGCTAAAACATACGGTGAAAGTTACAAGTTATCATGTTATTTATTACAGTGTAGGTAATCGATTTTATTAGAGATATATTAGCACGAGAACAAACATATTGAATAAACAGTAGCGACATTTATAAATAATTTGTACGTGGTATTTTTTTATATTTTTATGTCAATAAAAACGAAAACAATGTTCAGAAAGTCGTAGGGCTTAATAAACATGTGTATTTTTTTTTTAATTTTAAGTCTCAGACTAATATTGATATCACAATGACAACATTATCTCAACGCATTATTTTGTTGAGTAGTATTATAATATACAATACATCACAGGACTGAAGACGATCATAAAGTCGTGATGGTTATAACCTACACTGGAAACACTCTAGGAAGAACTTTGATAAGATATGTAATAATATGTCAAGTGCATTATCGAATCTATTTACTTGTATGGTATATAATGTATGGTCAACATGTTTGTTGTCAATATATTACATATACATCGGGTATGCCGTCTACAGGAGAGGGTCGGGGAAGGGTTGGCACAAAAGTGTCAGCAATACACATTTTTGAAAATATGTCGCAAACTCTGTAATATTGTTCTAACAAAATTAACAAAAAATAGGATTCCTGAAGAAGATTTTAACAAATCAATTGTTATGAAATAAATTAATTTGTTACAGCACCGTAGTTATAAGTTATAAGTAGTACTGCATTAGTGGGTTTAACTTAATGTTTTTGGCATAATTAACAAGAGTGATAGTAAAAAATTATGGAAACATAAGATTTCTCTCCACGTAGTCAAATTGTTAACACGGAAAATGTTATCAGTATGCATATTTAATACAATGTACAATACAGATGAAAATTGGGTGAGAGGTCATAAGTAAAAAAATTAAAAGCTTTTATCAGCAAATGGTAATAAACAAAATATTGTTAATTTATCGAAATGGCTACGTTGTAATTTATCTATTCGACGTTGGCTTTAATAAAATACACGAATGTCAATGTGGATACTTGATAATATATAAATAAATCATTATTTTTGAAAAAATATACATTATTTTTTATGTTAAACTCCTTCACCGCTCGTTTCTCCCGTATACGTGCTTGTAATATACAGTATATAGTATTATGTACATGCAATAATATATGTATATTCATATATATAAATAATATATTATTTAAATAGATTGTAGTGGCGTAGTCAGAAATATTAATTAAAGTGCAATTTTGAAAATTTATTAATGATCACAATACATAATAATTAATGAAATATAAATGTTAATTTAATATTAATAATGTTAAAACCAGTTTTTCATACAATTTGTAATACACGTTTATTACAAAAAAAAAACAAAAAAACAAAACTGAAATATTGAATAGTTCATTGTCGTGGTTTATGGAAATGTTATTAAGTTATTATGATTATTATATAAAAAGATTAAAGATTACATAATAGACTATTATTATATTAGTCAAAATGAGCAATTATTTTCAAACGTCGCATCTTACCAACAAATGCTGGGTCCACTGGTCTCATTCGAAATGAATCCGGCCAAAGATCGATAATGTTTACCACAACGAGAATCGTCAAACAGCGTCGTTCGTAAACACGAAGCATGCTTCAAATATTCTGAAAAACGAATATGTATATGATATTATATAAAAACGCAAATATTCGACAGCGAAAATTATAATATATAATATAATTTAAAATTTTTTTATTAGAAGAATAAATACAGGATTCCATTAAGTCTACTATGCTCTGCCCAGTAATCTAATTTATAATTTACTCTCTTTATTGAATAAAAAAGTTTTGTATTTTATCTTCCTTATGATAATGTAATACCCGTAGAAACTAAAAAACGAATAAATAATAATAATTATTAATCAAATAAAATTTAAAACTTTCTATCATTTAAAAACAGTTTGGTAAATTTTATCATCCATATATTTTATTTTAAAAATTTAAAATTATAGATACTTAATTTATAGACATATAGGGGAGGTGATGTTTGAGTGAAGCCCCTAAAAGGAATAACCTCCCTTAATAATTTAATATTAAATATATATGTACTTTTATTTGGTAAAAAAAATAATAATAGTAATAATAATAATAAAAAGAATTAGTATTAATATACTAGATATAAAAACATAAAGTCATACATTTTATATTTAATAAATATTGGTTTCATGTATTTATGTTATTATAACAAATTTCGATTTATATATAGTATTATGTGCATTCGTTGTTATAGCATGACGATACATTATATTAATATAATGTATTACGGATCAACAACCTGTCTGGTATTGAGGCGACGTGCACATTTGATGGACCAATTCGATAGAATTTTCAACGGCTTTGTTAAATACTTTCCGTTTGCTCTCCTCAAAACAGTGTTCTGTGTACCGCTTTGTGCAGTCGACAAATAGCGTCCAAGTGCTATAAAATACGACGAGGATTATTATTTTATTATAACGGTTATGTAAGTATAATATTATTATACGTCGCGTACAAACCAAAATGTTTATTATGGCAGATAAAATAATACATTACCGGCATATGTTATCGATGTCTTTTAGATTTCCCGGATAGATGAAGTGCGGATCTCTCACCAACGGATCAGCTAGAGCAATGCATCGGTTGTATTCTTCTTTACCACAGTTTTGCGCGTATATCATGTGAGCAGCTTCGGCTGTGAACGATAAACAGTATATGTTATAATAATAATAATAATAATATCGTTAGGTGAGAAAGCGATTACAACTGACGATCGACCCGTTTAGTTGGTAAATCAAGTCAAAGAAAAAATATACGGCTAACATGTAAAATTGAAAAAAAACTAATACAAAGAAAAATTACGTCTAGAAATATAATAAAAAATTAGGAAAAAACAGGAAAAACGAAATCGATGCCGAATTACGTTATACAATCATTAAAATATAAAATAAATATGTTATTGTAAAAACAAGTCAGAAAAAACTAACATCAATAAGAGAAATTACAAATTTTCATTTAGATTTCAAGTACCTACTGGATATAACACATATTATATCCTACGCAATTAGGATTGTAAAATTATGCATTTATACATTTTTTGAAATAACTTTGGAATTAATAACCTTTGAAAAATATATTATAATTCTTAATTTTGATCAGTATATTTATTGATTAATACTTTATAGTTTATACAATGAGTGTGCGTCATGCGTAGTATTTAAGTTCTATATCTACGTTTTCTATTAGTGCTATATTGATTTTGTATGTAACGTTTAGATATTTTTTTTGAATTAGTTTTGTCTGTGGTAAACACGATGTTAGGTAAAGGGGCGCTCTAAAAGTTTCATATACCCTAACTTATATTGATTGGAAATTTGATACAGCTGGTATTCTAAGAGAGCGGTCAAAATGGTGAGTACCTAGTTGAAAAACTGAAAACATAATGTAATTTTTAATAAAATCATTGTTTTATGTGATTCATATTATTCTGATTAATTTTTCGTATCATGAAATAATTATTTAACTGACAAGAATATAATATATTCACCTTTAATGTAATAGGTGTGTTTACTGTCTACTACCAAAGTCGCCGTAAATTGGTTTTGTTTATGGCATTGTTCATGGCAAATAAGTAAATGGGTGGGTGGATATAACGTAAAAAAAACTAGGGACCTCAGTTTTACAGTCTATACATTTTACTACATTATGTTATAAGTAAAATGTACCCAGGTTGTTAGTGGCTAAATACTAGGTACTCATTGAATATTCGCTACGCTATGTTTAATACATACTACACATTACACAATATAATATAGTACACTGCTGTATTTAATATTTATATTTTATTATAAAACATACAGTGATTAAATTATATCATCAACTTCAGCGTCATTGTTTGATAATTATGGCCCATGGGTAATGAGAAGTTGTTGACATTTACGCAACGCGTAAGACATGATTAAGAAGATAATGTGTTTAGGTATTATTAAATATTTAAAATATTAAATCTATAAACGGTATATATGTGTGTGTGTATTGGGGCCCCAACTTTCTTGAATGTGTTTGTTGTACACAATTAAGGAATCGCTGCTCTATATTGTTTTGAAGAGGAATATTTTTGTTAGTGGGCTGGTGGGTGTATTGACTCAAAATAAAATTATTATAGGTGTTTAAAAATACATCGATGCCTGTATTTGCTATATATTATATTAACCAAATTTTATTTAAGCAATCATTATATATAAAGACCGGATTTATATGCATTTTAAATTGTAAAATATGCATGCAAACATGCACTAAAAAAAGTCAAAATATGCAAGGAAAAAATGCAAAACATGCAAAATAAAATTTCAATTTTATATTAGATTTTAATTTTGCAGTGATAATTATTTATTAATTTTATTACATTTTTCATAAACAAAAAGTTACATGTATAATATAGTACAAAAATTTAATTTTTTGTTAAATTGTAATTTAATTTTTAAACATTGATATATTGTAAAAAATATTTTATTAAAATTAAATAGTAGATACATTGGTGATATACTGATATAAATAGGAAAAAAGTACGAACAATTTTATTGAAGGTAGTAAATTATTAATTTGAAAAACAATAAGTTATCAAAGTATGTTCCATGTTTATTTCCGTGAAATTATGACGGCGATCTGTAAGAATGTACTTGTATGATGAAAAACTACGTTCGACATCAACACTGGTGATTGGAGCATATTTAAAATTTGCTATTATATCCAGCGAATAATTTGGAACAGATAAATCGTCGAAATTAGCACTGTCACCTTGAAGTATTTTTGAAATTTCTTTTAAAACCATTAATCCTTTATTTTTATTCAAAACGTTTTTACATTTTGTTTTAATTATTGTACTATTTGCACTAGTAGGAAGTTCATTAACAGAGTTTTCCACTTGTTCTAAAATTTTTATTGAGTCTACAAGGGACAAATTAGAGGTTTCAAGCTTTTTGATACTTTCAACGATACATAAAAAATTTGCTTTAATGTAAGCAAGATCATATTTTACATTAAATTTATTAAAAATTGATTTACAATTTTGAATGCATTTTGTATTATCTTCTAAGTTTTCAATCACATTTTTGAACTCTTCAAAATGATCTGCGTAAAAAAAAGGCTGACTCTAGCCAAGTACCCCAACGGATAATTATTGGCTGCGGTGGTAAATGTGTAATTGGCAACATTTCTTTATATAATTGAATTTTATACGGAGCCTTTGAGATATTCTTTGAGACGTAAAATATTTGATATTATAATATTATATAAACGTACCTATGATCTATGTTTTTATTTGTATATTTGTACGGTTTTTGTTAAAATATGCAAAAATATGCAGATCATGCATTAACGTCAGAATATGCAAAAATATGCAGTATAAAATTTTGATATTTAATCAATCAAGTAATGATTTGTGGACACTCATTGACTGCATGTATATGATGTTGAAAATAACAACATGCATTTTATGCAAAATCCGGTCTTTAATTATATACAATCATTTTAAAGTATTAAATTTTTCCTATCTTTATAAATATTAAAAAAAAAAAAACAATTAGGGTATCAAGACGTATTCCTATTAAACTTTTTTTCCAAATACTGATAACTAAAACGATTTTTCTTAAAATTATATAAATATACTCGTACATCGTACATTGTATGAAAAATTAAATTTTAATCACAAAAATATTAGTTAACTGCATAGGTACATTTTTAATTTTTTTTTTAAAAATCATGTACTATTTTTTAATTAATTTTTTTTAACATTGAATAATGAATAGGTATTTTATTATTATAATTTATAAGGTTTGCATATAGCAATACGAACACATTTTAATAGTTGATTAAATTGTATAATTTTTCAATGTGACCGTGACAAGCAGACGAAAATAAAGTTACTATATAGATTACTATAATAAAAGTTCTATTGTTTTATATTCAATGCAAACACACATACAATTGGTGTAAGTACGTGCCGGCTGTGCCGAATTCTAAGCTCTTATATAATATTATACCTACATGTACATTAAAATACGATACTGACACGTGTTTTTCAGAGTAAGCACTTCTTAATATTTAGGGTTTATTAACCCTTATTAAAATAACCTATTCGTTCATTCTTTTGGGACAATTGTTCGGGAAGTGTGAAACTTTCAATTCATCACCTCAATAAACGTGTGTAAATAATATTTATATAGATGACAGTTATGAATTATTTTGATTTATTATTGTTAAAATACGAGAGCTCTTGTGGTTTGAACACGCAACTATCGAAAAACATGTAGTTAAATAATACGAGTATTATACGTCTGTAAACGATATTATATTATGTTATTTTAAGCAAATTTGAAACTTGAACACAATTGTTGAAGATGTTTATATACGTACATGTACAACATATGATATAATTAAACATAATACTATGATGTATATATTATAATCATTTATAAAGTTAATTAAAATGGAACAATTTGATTGAAATATTGAATATGCATGCTTAATAATAGAAATATTATTAATATAAAATTATAAGATGAAAAATTTAGTTAAAAATATTTATTATTGAATACAGTATTGTGCTGGTTCCTTTTTTTTAAATTTTTAAATTTTATTATTTTTAAACTTAAGTCATATTTTAATCATTTCAAAATTATACATAAAAAACAAATTAAAACTTATAACGGTGAAATACAATATACCTAATGCTTTTTGAAAATAGGGTTTTTTTTATTTGAATGAGAACTTTGTTTTTAGTTCTTCACTACAGTACGATTAATGGGTCGGCACGCGCATTATATTAATACCACGATGAGATATTTAATCTTTTCGCTCTTGTGGAATTTATAAATCACAAAAACACGTCATTGCTTTAAAAATATTTGAAAACATAAAAATATAGGACGCACTCGGCAATAACGACGACATTACGTTAATAATTAAAAATACTATTAAGGGAGTTCTATAGTTTTATAATTGTACACGTATTATAACGTTATTTTCTACACAATCGTACGGGTCTCAGTGAAAAAATCTACTAATAATGTTTACGTTATTGTTTAATTGTATAAAATAAAATGTATTGGGTGATAAAAAATAAAGTAGAATGTACAATTCATATAAGCGTTATCGTCTATAGTATATGACATTGTTAACTCTATTTTATAGTTTGAGGTTACCTATTATTGTTATTTTTCTATGTAGGTTTTATTTTTATATTTATATTTATTATTATACACAGAATGATTCACTAAGCATGCTTACTTCCAATTATTATCTATAATTTTGAGTTTATTAAAATTCTGAATTTTTTGAAATACTTTAATAGTTATACGTATTTGCAATTAAAAAGATTTTAAATAAGTATTTTTCAGTCACGTGTATGGCTGTTGCAACATACACATTTTATTTTATCAAATATATTTAACATTTTTCACTAAAAATTATAAATCAAATGATTTTTTTTTTTTTTTTTGAATTTTGATGTGTCGATATCAAAACCCGAATAAATAGTTTTAGAGAAATTTAAATACAAAGAATATATATATATATATATATATATATATATATATATATATAAAACCTAAAAAAAAATGGTTTTTAAAATCTATAAGATATGAGTTTTATTTAATCTAGTACTTAATTTAGAACAATCTTACGATCTATAAAATGTTGATAGATTTATTTTATTTATTTATTTATTTTTTAGTTATTGAAATTCGACAAAAAGTCCATTGATTTTATTGTTAAATCCTAAGCCCAAAGAAGTAAAATAACTCAAAAAAAAAAATTTGTTCAGATTTCGATTTGGATAAAACTATATTTTCAAACATAAAAAAAATTATTTATTTAACAATTTACTGGAAAGTAAAACGATCATCGTTAGGAAAATAATAAGTTGATATCTCTAAAAGACACTCTTAAATAATTGAAATAAATTATCTGATTATTTAAAAATAAACTTATCAAATATAATAAAAATTTAAAAAAACTAGAATTTAAATAAATTTGTTTTTAAAAGGTTAATATAGTGGTGATTGGGGTAATGAATCAGTTAAGATGTGTTTATTTTTATGTAGTTTCGAAATTAAATCACTTTTATTTACAACTATATTTGATATATCACTATTACCACTAATAATCTTAATAATTACCATTCCTAACATAACATTTCTGTAAAATATTTAAAAATTAAATATATTATTTTGAATAAATAATATATTAAATATTGATTATTAATCAGTAGATATTAAAGCTGAATATATAAATATTATAAACAATTTGCTGAATTAATAAACGAGTTGTGAAAAAAAAAAATGTTTGGCAAATAATAGTACCTATTAAATATAATATATGTAATAGGATTTTTTTAGACGTGAAGTTGAACAATGTGGAGTTTAGATCAAAATAAATCATCTCTTATACTCCATATTTATTAAGAATTAGCCACCTACTTCACGGTTACTCACTCATTCGGTCTCACTTAAATATTCCTCTTTTTTGTTCTTGCCACTCTGATGCCGATACTAAATTTATTTCTCCAACGTTTTTATTTTGAAAGCTATAATTTATAATACGAGTATGCTCTATAAAATTGCGTTATCGTTAATAAATAATAACTATTGAGTGTCATATGATTGATTATAGTGACGTTATTCAAATAAAAAGTGGTGTTTAGAAATTATTTAGAAATATAGTTCTATCCAAAAATTTATGTTTGAATATAATTAAATAGCTTCTAAAGTTTTAAAATACTTAGAAATTATTTAAAATATTATTTATTTTTCTTAATACAGTATCAATTATTATAGTTATATTAATTGAAATAACTTCAATAAATGTTATCATATTTAAATAATAGTATTAAAACAACCAACAAACATCATGAATTGCATACAGAAAAATAAGTACCAATTAATTTAATTTGTTTAAACTTAATAATAAATTATAATAGTTCTTAATTTACTATAATAATAAACACTATTTATTATTGAAACATTATTTATTATGCTGACTTAAATATTTATTTAACAACTAATTATTTTTTTTTTTATTCGCAATACATTTGTACAATTAGATTATTAAATATTTATATTTTAAAGTATAAATTAAACATTATCACTTGACTTTGAGAATAAATTTGTAAGTTTTAGAAGAATTATTTTTAGTAAGCACATAATGAATTAATAAAATATTTTTAACGTTTTTAAATACCTATAGTATACGAGTATACTTATCTACCTATAATACATAGTGAGTTATAGTAATATTGAATTCAAATTTCAAGTTGTATGTAAATACACGGTCGTACTCCATAAAACCTTTTAGCAAGTTGATAAATAATTGAAAGGTTAAAAAATAATAAAACTACTTGTAAAATTATTTATGCCAGAGGAGTAAGAAAAAAATCCACTAACAAAAAAATAATAATTTATAGCTAATTTTCTAATATATTTACAAATAAAAACTTCGTCACAATACCATGTTTAACTACTTTATATTCTGTTAAATTCAAGTTGGAATTTGAAACTCAATACTCATATATTATTTCATTATACCATTGATTATAGAATATATTAGAGTATATTCTATAATCAATGGTTATACGAATTGTATTTAAAATTTTTGTTTTTTAGTCATAAACAATTTATATATACCTATATATACCTATAAAAAAAAATTATGAACCAAATAAAAGTTTTATTAGATTAGGTTATAGGACGGTTAGGACGGTTATAAAGGTCGATCACTCGTAGTGACTCATTAGTTTATACGAAATCAATAATGATATTGCTTGAAAACTTGTTTAAAGAAAAACGAATAATAAAATATAAGAATATTGTAATATTTTCCTAGAAAATGATAATTCATTCTTGTCTTACGTTGATGTATTCTGTTTGTACTTTCTTTAATGGTTCTAAATACTTTTAATTATTTTTATAAATAAACTAACTTGTTTTTTATATGTCTTTAGATTTTAGTCAATATTTAGTTATTCGGTTCGCATTCAATTTAGTATTATACAATAAAAATACAAATAATTCACTTACATTTTTGTAGGTATATAAATATATATCTAAGCAAAATTACTTTTTTTTTTATTAAACAACGCGTCATCGGTGTTAATGCCATCAAGAAAGCAATTCGTTGAAAATAAAACAAAAAAAAAAAAAAGAATAATGTGTTTACGTGTTGTGCTGGATAATAATGTGGGGTATAAAGGGGTGCTACCCTGTAACAGCGAAACCCACGATTTTCATTTATGCTGCACGCAATGGTCAGTTTGACCTATTTAATGGACCTTTTGACTCAACAGTATGTTTTATTAGTAGAAAAATATACAAACATAGAAACGCGTTTGCCGTTACACAGTTTTACAGACATTTTCACAAAGGCCACATACTTGTTATTAAGGACATCGAGGCCATCAAGATTATAGTGTAGGATCGCTTCATAATGGCGGGCTTGACGAAAAGTAACCTGAAAAATAACAAATTCAAATAGTTAATTAGGTAATATAAATCAGGTATACTTAAAATGTTGGAGAAATAAAACTAAGAATAAAAAGTAATCAAAACTACGTCCTTGGACTTTTAGGATTTATGTGCAAGAAAATATAATAAAATATAGAATAAGGTCTTGCAGGCGATTTTAATATCATCATTTGTTGAAATTTCATATTTACGTGTATATAATAATAATCATACAGACGTAAATATTATAAATTGATTGGAGTTATAAGCACAATTTGTAAGCAGTAGCACGCTCATAAAATACATATCAAAACATTTATAGTGCAACACTTTTTTTTTGCAGCAAATGTTGTCTAACATTTAGCGTAGTCCAGCGTTAAAACTTGTTTAATATAAAAATTGATTGTGCTGATTTAATTTGATGTGATATTTTAAATAAATTAAAAAGTCTCCTATGGAGTAATATTTTAAATGTTAGGTAGTCATAAATGAAATTCAAAGTTTAATCCTTTCCTACATTTATAACAATCAGTCAATACATATTAAGACATAAATGCATGTGATTTTTTTTTTTAATTAAACTGTATATTATATGTATTAAAATATAATTTTACTGACTATCAAACAATAAATAATATTATCATAGCATGTAATAATAGAACAATGTAGTAAATTTTAAAGCACAAATATATAAATTAATTTTTTTTTAACGTATCACTGTCTAGTTCTTTCTATGATTCCCGCCAGTTCATTTAATGGTTACATATTAATATTGGAAGTAAGGGCTATGATAATCATTTATTGTAGCCTTTTAATGCAATTTTATTTGAATTTTTACATTGTAAGTTATATTTGGTAATTTTCATTTCGTAATTAAGTATATAAATTAAGAAGTATAATATTATTTTATTTTATTTTTTTTATTTTTAACCGTTTTAAAAAATACCCTATTTATATTATTTTACGAACATCTAAAGAAATATAAAATCTATTATATATAATCTAGAAACGTAATTATTTTTAACTCATACGTTTAATAATTATTTTTCTATAATTATTTTAAACGACAATCATACAGAGTAAATAACACATGTATATTTTAGATACGGCCCGATGAATGGTGTAATTTTATGACGTTAAGCATAAAACGTAACTATTATATTATTGAATAGGTATAATATAATATTATACAAATTATACTCAATGCTTATATTTAAACACGGAAGTAATATCGTCCAACATCAATTTTTAAGTTACCAAAACTATAATTTTTTGAAACTCTATATTTTCATACAAAGAAAAAATCAGTTATTTTTAGCCATATAGTCATTCAGTATATTACATAATATAACAAGCACTACCTAAAGTCTACCTGTGTACAAATATAATAAAAAAATATTGCCTAATAATAAATGTTTTTTTTTGAAATTAATCATATTGTTATTAATTATCACATTAGATTGTGTTCCGTGTTACATAATATTTTTCAAAGACGCTTGACTAGAACGTTATAATTATTTTTTCCACTGGATTTTTTTTTTTCATTAACAATCATACTGTGCGTTAACTTTTTACTCGATAAGACCAAAAAAATATAGTAATAATATAAATTGTTTTTAAACGTGTACATAATATTATAATTTATCTATTGTCATTTATTCCAAGCAATATAATACCTACTCATTTTTAGTCATTAGCCACAAAAGTATTATGCATTCATCCTATAGAATAAAATATAAACCAGAGGCGATTCATAATTGTGACAATTAAAATGACGATGATGACGCGCGACGTCTGTACTTTATACATGTACTACTATACTGAAAATAAACTTGAAACAATAATATTCAATAGTGTGTTTCAGCGTGGAAAACGAAAATATGTATGAAGAATGTTTATTAGTTTTAAAGGTAAGTGATCACTGCAAGCAACGTGTGTATTCACGGTGGCCTTCAGACCGAGCTAAATGCTATTCCCTGAAGGACTTTAAGCTAATTGGCGAACGGGTGCGATGCCCCTGATAATATTATAATTAATATGGTTAATTATGTGTTCTCAAAAATGAGTCCTTTAGGTGTGATAATAATTCGGATGATTATATTTATAGAAGTCAACATTTTTTTAATTAAATAGACTGTAGTATTGTAATAATGATAAAAATAAAAGCTTTTAATTAGTTGAAACACACAATAGTATTTTATTTTTATTTCCACGCATCATACTTGGATAACATTTGTGGGATACATACATTTAAATTTACTTTTTTAGAATAAAAAATATCAATATGCGCATATTTTTATTATTAAAAGTTTTATTGATCACTATATATATGCGCTAAGTCATTATAAAGTATACAAAGAAATTGTAAAATTCAAATAACATCTAATATACACTAAAAACTTTTGTAATTTAATAAAATTTAATACCGTGAAATTAATTTATAGCAAGTAATGAATTTAATAATAATAAAAAAAAAAAAAAAAAAACATACAAATGCAACAATGTTTGAGCCCTATAGTTATAATGATATAACATAGGACATTACCTATCAGGGGTATAAAGTAATAAATAATTTGTGTGAACTTGACAATAGGTAGGCAATACAATGTACACGCGTACATTGAATAGTACTACAGTACAGTTAAAAGAAAATATCGTTTGTTTTAAAATATTCATCAGTGACATTGTGGCAGAATATAATAAATAGTTTCGAATAAAAAAACTATGAATCAAGTATCATAAAATTTACTTAAACAATTTATTTGACTATAGATGTTTTCTTATTTGAAATTCTGAGTGAAATAATGAATGTATTGGTTTTATAATAATGTGGATTTTTTGAACACGAGTACACGATAATTTTTTGATAAAATGCTAAGATGTTCAAGATTCAGAATGAATTTGGATAGAAAAATGGAATTTTAATTTAATTTACTATACATGGAATAATTTTAAAAATATTTTGATTTCCTATAAGCTATTTATACAAATTGAAATTTTCGATTTTTTTTTTTTATAAAGACTAATAAAAAATGTATGAATGGGTGAAAATATTTGTAAAATAATAAAAATTTCCAATCAAAATATATAGAAAATTTAAAGGCACAGTATTTTTCTAAAAGCATTTAAATTTAAAATTTGACAAAACCCGTGTGTTTATAGTTAAAAATATGTAAAAAATTTCATTTGTTGTACCTACCTTGGAGAGTGGTTGGATTATACTATAAGATCTTTGTACAATTAGGAACTCCTAAATGTAAGGTATTCAACGGAGGTTTTTCGAATTTCCAAGACCTTTATTTGGTATTCCTAAACACAGCATAATTAATATATAGTAATTATACGTAGCTTGGCTTTGATTCTCAGTAGGCTGCAAAACATAGGCCCATACTAAATCTAAAATAATCTTTTATCTGATAAAACCTACTTTCCTACTCTCTAATCTTAAATACTCGTACGTTTTAAAGTTCCATATTCGTCAGCAAGATATTATGTTCCTCTTTTTACTCTACTATCCATCATAAACTATATGGCCAATAAACTTATTAGGCGCATATTGAAGTCCATTGCCAATGTTAATTTTTTTCTTCACCTTTTAAATTATACTAAACAATTGCAATTTATGTCTGTATTACGTCTTATTTTAATAATATAGAAATCGATCTAACATTTGATCTACCAACAAAATTCTATCTACCATATAGTGTTGATATAAAAAGTGTGATCTGCGCTATTATAATAATATTTAAATGAAGTTAATACTACTCGATTTTTATACATTATTTATGTATTGTACTGTACTTTTAAAATATCATTCAGCCATTGTTTAGCATTAAATGTGGTAACATCGAATATTTGAAACGACAAAGACCAGTAAGAAAATACATTCAGACAGAAATTCAAAAAAAAATTGTGACTTTGAGATGTAGTAAAAAGAGTCTACCAGAAACATCAGCCAATTTACGCTGGAAATTAATTTTATACTTGCACAGACTTCAATTTTATATGTCACAGTTATTTATTTCTAAAGGAAATAATAGGATTTTTCTGAAAATAAGTTTGGTACATAAAGCATTTTACGAACAGATAGACGTAAAGATATATAATATAGGTATATAGAAAATTTTTTATCGGATTTAAAAAACATTTTTAAATTATAAAATTTTACAAGTCATATTTAAGTAAGTATAATTCTATTTTAAGTAACTAATATACAAGTGTCTTACATATGCGATAATTACGGACCAAAGCTGTAATTCTTATGAAAAAACAAAGAATAAAAGGTAAGTAATAGTACAGAGTAGAAAATTGCTGTAAATCAGAGTTGAATAGAAATGAAGAGGAATATAAAAAAAATAGTTAGTAGATCACATTTTACGATGAATCACATGTCAGATTACGGATTCATTGGTAGATCACACATTAATCATTAGACCGACTCCTTGTTATACCTAATATCTAAATAATTGTATTTTATAAATAAATATCGCTCTATAAAATATTATTGCAATACCCACACACATACTACCGAGGGGCCCCTAAATAGCAAAATGGGAGCTATTTGTGCACGACACACGCAGCGTGCCTATATATATGGTTCAGCGATCATTATAATATAGTAAATAGTATATATATATATATATTTTTTTTCACGGGTACAGTGTTACATATCATATCGCCTAGACGTATACCTATTGGGTGTATGTAGCGAAGTTGACGATTTTACATTAAAATTACATTTAAATAAGTCATACGTTCCACATACACCCTGTATGCTTATAGATAATTATAATATATATGTATGTATATATTTTATTGTTGTGACTGAATTGAAAACGCTGTTATACCGTGTTATTCTGCACCAAACGGATGTACGGTTCACTGCGATTATGCGCAGACACCTTATTTACATTACACTATGTCCGTTTCGAAAACAACGTGATAGAGATGAAAAAAAAATGTTATGCCCACGGTGCGCGCACATAATGATTTACGAAAAAATTCAAT